TATATATATATATATATATATATATATATATATACAGCACGATCGCTCCATCGTTTCACATCGTCTTGTCCCTCTCACCCGGAACAGTTAAATTCCCTTTGACCCGATCTGATTCTATCACTTTTCGCAATTTGTGCAACTTGGAATCCTTTAACAGGACACGGATTTTGTACGTGACGAACTTCACTTCACCAAAACATGTATCGTTTACAGATTGTCACAATAACCGTTTTTTCTTGATGGTCAGCCACAACGAGCTCCGATCGAGACAGTTAAGTTAAGTTTTTATAACCATTAATCATACATTTTCGTGTGCCGGTTTCGGTTGCTGTCTTCTGGTGCCCCATTTGCATAAAGAGCAGAATGAAGGTTGGAATGTTGAAAGCGAGTTCAAGCGGAAGATGAAGAATTCATATAGAATGGTGTTAGAGGAATAATTAGTGGATGCACGACCGCCACTGTTTGCGACACTCAGTGTCTCTAACCATCGGTGAGCATCATCCCGAGGTCCCCAGCCAGGGAGCCTAACGGGGTCTGTGTGACCCAGACTCCTGGTTAGGGTTTTCATACCCTCATGCCAGGTCTTAGCTTGACCATCCTTGGCTTTCATCCACCGAATACCTGCCTCGGCAAACATCGTTCGCTGTGGCAACCTATTTGGGGAAATATGTAAAACATGCCCCAATCGACGTAATCTATGGAGGTCGATCACTTACTCTTCGATTACTTCAAAAACCCTTAGTGATAACCTGCATCGCTCAAAAATGAAAAACACCAATCACGCACAATTATGATCAAATTTCCCTTTGGCATTCACCGAGGCCAATTGGCCTCAATTCGTATTATGGCACTGGAGATTGTTCCATTTTTACAAACTCAGCAAATCGGATCCGACTATTTCACGATTGAATGTGTACACCTTCGCGGAAAATTGCCAAGCATTGAGGGTGTGACAAAAGCATTTCGTGCGCCACATCATTTGTGCAAAGCACTTTTCATGAACGAATTGTTTGCTACACATGTCTCGGTATGAGGTGTTTCAGTGTGAACACTAGGGCGAGCTAGAGTAGTCGGTAGAATACCACTCTCGTGCACATATCCGGTGTCAAACTGAAGAAGAAATGAACTTCAGTGATTGGCAGGGGTGGGTCGGGGGCTGAATGAACTGCATTCGATTGAACATGTCGTTTCATTCGCATGATAAACACTTTCGGATTGTTGGCTTCGCGGTCGAAAAATGTGTTCCCTTGCTTCACAGTTCAAGAGCGAGACGTATTCCACTAGCGCGCCCAGGTGTCACTATGTTTCTCTTTCAATGTACGCATAAATTATACTATTCATATAAATGACTAGTCTCTTACCCCAAATTCAGTGACTCCGGTAACCGATTCACCTATTTTGGACGATAACAAACCGCTTTACCAACGCAGTGCGGTGTTGGTGGTGGGGTTCAAACCTCGGACAATAGGGTCCAAAGCACACTGGCAACGGTGAGCAAATCATTGCTCCACCATCACTAATCTGGTTCCAGTATACATCTCTGCTCACATTGCCGTCGTTCATTTATTCAGAATTTCACGTTCATATAACGTGAAAGGAAGTGGACGTGTGGGGAGAAACAAAAATAACTCACAACTTCTGAGCTGAAATTGAACACGACGATGGCCTCTACTTCACGTCACCCGTTGCCTTGCGCCCAGGTTCTTGTTAGAAATTAAGTCTTTGGACGAGAACCCTAATCATTCTCCTGCTTATTGGCTGGACACCCTGGCAGTACCCGTCCAGCATATACGAACAAAAATTAATTCCATACTGTATCGGTCGTCGCGCAGGATAATCAGGACCGCGCTGCCTGTTGCATCGAGCGGGTTGGGTATTGAGAAGCGGACTACTGCTCAGATATCCCAACCTTTGTTTAACTCTTTGTCGTCCGTTCCCAACCGTCTCCCTTTACCCCTTCTTCCAACCCGTATTATTCCCTCAGACAACTTGTTCGTCACTCGCCAAAGTTCGTCGCCAAGTAGCCCGATAATTAGTTTACCACAAAATAAATTGCAGATTCTAAAACCTAGCCCATCACTGAATCTGGGGGCATTTCACTCTCCAACTCACTGGTCACAAAAAAAACCAAAAACGGTTGTCAGATCATCGTTTATCTGACCCTGCCGTTCGTGCCTGTTTTGTGTTAGATCTAGGGCAAGAGCTAAACGCACCGCGGGATGTTAGTGTGGATGAACAATGGGATCAGATTAGACGAGCAATGCATTCCATTGCGAGAGTTGTTTGTGGGTCTGAAGCGGTAGCCCGC